GGAAAGTAAATAATATAATAACAATTCCACGCAGTCAGGAAGATAAATCAAAATATAAATGAAACTTAAGCCATGGAATACACTCCAAACTTGGACACATATTTTCAAACTATTCCCTCTCAAAGTGATGAAATCCGTTTTTAATAAACTGCGTATTATATTTTCCACGATTTTATCAAATAATTTCGGTCCCAACAAGGCGTTATATAAGTACAAATTAGTATGCATAAAGTTGACTCCATATTTAATGTAGACACTCAAGAAGACTCAGAGATATGAAGGGGTGACACCCTTTATAATGCTGGCAGGAAATTTAAATTGTTTTACACTGGCATTCTTTCACGGTGCATATTATTTAAATGTTTGCAGCATATTAAGAGGACGAACTGAAAAAAAATGTTTAGTTTGAATTTTCACTTAAACACAGAGTGTCACAGACTTGTGTGATGGATTTTGTGCTCACCAACCGTTTTAATGCACATGTTAATGTTAATAAAACAATTGGCATGACTCGTCTAATGTCTAATCATCGTTAATAAAGAACGGCTTTGTTCAAGCTTAGAAAGTAGCGTTTACGATGCATAATTTGCTGCTCCATGAGTCAAACAACATTTCTATTAGTCAATGTAAACGCAAATACGCAAATTATTGATATTTGCAAAGGCCTATGGCATAGATAGCAGTTGTGAACGCCACTGTTCGTGTTGAGCGCTGGACTTTGCTATTGATCCTGAACTGCAAAAGCCATTCATGGGAAAGCTTACAGTTACATTGCGGATTCTCTTCTTCGCACGCGTCCTTTATAAAACACAGTGACAGAGCATTTGCCCACAAATGACCCAAATTTACTGAGTTGCCGAAGTTTACGCAAATATACATGATTCTGATCGTAGATGCATTGGGGCTTTGATCAGGGGCGATTTCCCTAGATGCAAACCTGCACCCGAAATTAATTTGTCGATTCGAAATTTATCATCAGCATCATTTCAAAAATTATTCGTCAAAGACGGGAAGACCATAAAGGG